GTGATCTTCGTACGATCGGATACACAACCTAACATGAGAATGCCTAGCAGGCAATTTTTATGGCTCGTCAAAAATTCCCGAATAAAGTCAAGGCCATAGTCCGGCTCGAGACTAAGTACGATTTGGGACTAGGCTCCGAATACGCGACTTGCAATGGTTGATAATCTACTAGTGCAGCTTGACGAGACGTGGGGAGTTGAGCATGGAGAGGAAAAAGCGTGAAAAGCACGCGGCGCCGTGGCAGCCCCAGTGCGGAACTGACACCCTGCACATGCAACCCCCGTCTCCCTCCCGTCTGGGAGAGCAGTGCGACTGGGAAGCTGTTCCAGGGATAATGCATGAGCCTGCCTTGCACAACCCACTGGCGCCACGCCGCGCGCGTGAAAAGCTAGGGACGAGTGAGAATCCCGATGACAGTGAGATGTTGACGCCTCCCGCTTTGGATCTGCGGTAACATCGACGAGGTTTAATACCTTCCAATGGGGCATGCGAGATGATGGCATACAGCGCGCTTGGTGATGCTCAAGCACAAGGAAAGACTTGGAGAATATTAGCAACATCGTTTTCGACCAAATGGTCTCCGAAGAGCGACTCTTGCATCAGAAAATCACAACGACCTGAGGAGTAACCCCTGCATACTGGGCAACGGGCTGCAGGCATAATCTGAGCCTCGAGTACTGGCTGATGACTGGTCAACTCGCTTTCAGACCGACCACGGCACAGTTAAGGTATGGACTGTCGGTTGGTGCAGGCCCGAAGCATGCATCGAATGGACCGCTTACGCAACCTCCTTCTTTGTTCTCGAGACGCTTCCTGATGGAGGGCGTGATACATCTTAAGCATGTTCCAAACAAGATCATCACACAGGTCCCCCTCGGAACGGAAGCACATCGATAGAAGCCCATTCTCGGCTGGCACGACAAGGTGAGGTCTCGCCCTGGCATGCCCTACACAGCAGTCACAGACACGCAGACGCTGTTCCCCCTTCCGCTGGCATCGTGGCACCGTGGCACATCCTTTAAAATGCTAAGCTGTATGCGTTCCCATGCAGCCGGACCATGCAGTAGTGGCGTACTTAGCAACCGGCTAGTGGATGCACCTGGAAGAGAGGCTAGCGGAGCGAGACACGGCTGGACCCAGTGCAAGGAGATCCCTGGCCGCTGCGAATGGAGCGCAGCACTCGCATCTTCGAAAGAGTTGCAGTGAAATGGTTGATGGTTCAGCTGAGGGGTATGGCGGTCTGGGACGCAATGGGCGGTTACCCTCTGGCACGGCTTGGCTTCAGAGAAATCGACGAATTGACCTAGCCGATGCGAAAGGAAGAAGAACAAGAAATTCTAACAGACAAGCGACGACCACGTTCTGGGAGGAGAGCTCAATGCAACCCAGGCCCAAGGGCAGACAGGGAGACAATAGCTTGGCCCAACACAACACAGCACAGCACATCAAACAATATCCAGCAGATGACTTCAGTTGTGTCTGGACGGGAGCAGAACCAGAACGAGCAAGTTTGGCGGCAGGCAACAAATGTCGGGAGGGAATTCATCGAAGGGAAATAATAGGGAAGTGGTGAGGTTGTAAGTATTGCAACCGAAAGTCTAGACCGACAATCCCACAGCTCAGCCTACCTCTAGTATCCGAACTCTTTCTTTTTCCGATTTTGGCAAATGAAGACAGCGTCTGTGCCAATCGGCAGTCGTTGAAGAGGTGTTCACAGACACGTAGTTGCTCAACTGGGTGCGAATACAGACACCGACTACTGCGTAACTTGGGCCCTATATCACACGCGACGGTGCATAGAGTACATCGCGCGTCGTGCCATTGCGGTGGAAAGATTGAAAAAGTTGCAGCCCGCAGCGGGTGAACGGGCTCGACAACCTGTCATGGACACATGTACATGGCCACAAGCCATTGCGCCCAGATCAGATGGCACCGTGCCGGACTGGGGGTTCGTAAGAATTGTCCGAGCTCTCGATCAGGAACGGAACTGTGGGCCATCTTCGACCCTTGGGAACGGCGTACTTGGGTCACTGGGGACTGGGTGAGCAACCCATGAAAAACTAAACAGACAGCGATCCGGCTCTAGGTGTTCCTCCGCGGCACAGCGGATGGGCACTGGGTAGGTAGCATGGGCAAACAAGCCTGGTACTCTGGCGTGAGCGCGCTGGAAGATTTTTAGATGTTTGGTACGCAGCATCCGTACGGATACAGAGCCGGGGGGTTCCAGGCAAGGGTGTTCTTGCACAATGCACAGGGTTGCTACTAGACCTCATCCCCGGCACGTTGGCGGAGGATTTGATTAACCACGGCTTCAATCGAGGTACGGATACGGACTCACAGATACGGAGTCTCTGACAGGACCCATACCACTTCCGTGCCGGCCTGCTCGGTGCTCGTCAAGAGCCAAGTGTCTGAACGGATGCACTCTCCCCAGTCATTGGTAAGTCAAGTCAGTTAGGCTGGTGCTGGGATTGCCTGCAATGGAGATGATGTATGGGGGTTTGTCATACGGCACGAACACATTAGACCAGTCGGAATGTCATGCTGCTGACAACTGTGTGCACAAGCTTCCTTCTTCACGGAGACTGGCCCCCAGCAACGATGAGCCTGTACGAGATACTTGTTGAAGCCCAGCAGTATATCTAGATCATCAGGTACGACACCCTCCATGCTCTGCCCCCCCTCTCTACAAATGGATGAAAGGGAGATGTCCCCCTCATGTCACGCGCCCTGAAAACCTATCATGAACAAGCAAGCCATTGGACTGCGATGTCCAAATTGGAGGGACGCTGGACCACAAGCAAGCAGAGCACATCCGTACATCCATGCACCAGAGTTTGAATGATCATTTCATGTTGGTCCCAGCCGCACGGACGATCTTCAGCGTCACAGACTCCCTAACCGCGTCTCAACGGCGTCCTTCCCCGGAGGCCCTTTCGTGGCCTTCTGCAAGAAGCACAGATGGCATTTTGAAGACGTGCCTGGGCGTTCGCCATGCCAAGTGCAGCAAGGTTCATCGTCTGTCGTGTCAATTCATACCGTCTCTTCTGGTGGTGGGGGCTCACGGGGGGCTCGCATATGGGACTGTTGCCCATTGGCAAGTACACGAGATCGTGGCGGACAGCATCTAGAGTCTCGACTTGCCGCCAAGATGGCCCTCATCGGGTAGCACGCTACTACGCTCGGAATGTGTGCACACACACAGAGACAAAGAAAAGCTCATTCAGTCAGTCGGGAACCAGTAAGCATTGCATGAAGTTCTGGGGGTGGGAGGGGGGGCAGAGCAGTGGGATGCTAACGGGAGAGCAACGCCGCAGTACAGATAGGCATCTGTTGGAGGCGAGCATCAACCACTGATCTCAAGTGGTATTCTGGTGGAGGGAATAAAAGGGTTGAGCTGATGCAGGACCAGGGTTTGAGCTAGCCCCGAGAAAGATGAGAGCGAGCACACAGTTTTGAGTACTCGATCCACACCCCCCTAGCCATGTCCGAGCTCTTTCATACTGCAGTACGGACAGAGAGAGAGGAAGACAGACGCACGCTATTCGTACACACCCGAACAGACCCAACACTGGGCTGGGCTGACTCTATCCTTGTTCGAAGCAGAAAAGCACATACGTACCATACTATATGCACTGGCGAACCTGCGCAGACACGACACCACGCTCCTCTTGGATGGTTGCGCGCCCGGAGACAATAGCTCAGGGTGGAGCCTTGCCATAACATGGGCCCAAAGTGCGAATAAGCTGGAGGAGGCCCGCCGGAACAGCAATAACAGGGTTGTGCTGAGTCCTGACCGTAGCTGACGGGGTTTCCCTCCCAGCTCTCGCCAACTCACAGTTCAGCACGAGGGTACAGCTACCGCTCACTTGTTGCTCCTGCACAAGCTGCGCAAAGGGGAACAGCTCACCTAGAAGAGTAAGGGAAGGGAGGTCTCGGCACCGGGATTAAGGACCCCTCTGGCGAGCGACAACACATTTGGATGAGAATTGCGAGTCCTAACCAAACGAACGCGACGCCGTCGCGATTCTGCGAACCGTGGGTCCGTCCCGCAAGGCCGACGTCAGTGCCAATCTCCAGCAGATCATCCCAAGTCTAGCGGTTCCCGGGGGAGAGGGTGAGAACCAGAAAGGTTTGGCTGAAGCACTTCGCCTTGAAAGGATAGGTCCAAGCATTACGTCGCTTGGACAGGAGAGACTAACCTCACTATCCTTAATCTAGCCCGCCGCGGGATGGGGTGTGGGTGAGCAAGGACCAGAAGCAGATGGCAGCAAGCAAGCCAAATCTTCCAAGCAAAGCAGACAGGGCAACGAAAAGCACATGCGACTCGTTGTTGCTCGACTTGGGAAGAAGCCAATCTCAGGGGACAAGGAACACGGGACCCAAGTGTCTGGTGCTGGTGCAAGGATGGAGATGGGATAGGATGGGATGGAGTGCGGTTTGGGGACTCTCACCTGTGCGGCAACGGAGGAAGAGCCAGACAGAGAGACGGGCCAGACAGGGTTCCAGCCTCCAGCCAAGTAGCCTCCCCGTTTCTCTGTATCTCTCATCCTCTTTCAGTTTCTCGCTCTCACAGTTTCTCACTCACTTTAGTCTTCCAGTTCCTCTCTGGTTTCTGTCTCTCCGTCTCGGGGCTCTGTCTCTCAATTCACTGCCTCACCCGCCCTGACTACTTGGTACCTGGAACCGTCTACAAGGCATACCTACCATACCTACATCACCCGTCGTCTCTCCTTCGTCCACGCCACCAATTGCTTCTTTCATCGTTTCTTTTCCGGCTGGCAGGTTGGCCCCTCCTCTCTGTCCTCCTGTGCTTTCCACCCCCCTTAGCTGGTTGAAAAATGGCCAACTGAACGATGACAGACCTGGCTGGAACACCAGACGACTTCTCACCCCCAATCGCCATTCCCAATCCAGCTCGGGCTTCTACGCTTATGACCACACCCACGCCCCTGGATCGAGGATTTCTCTGTTTCTCTGCCCACTCATCTCCTCTCACACCCTCACGCCCTCACCCCCTTCTTGTCCTCACACCTCCTCGTCTGTGTGTTTCCCCAAAGCAAGGAGCCTCGCGCGCTCCTGATACCTACTTGATCCACGCCGGCAAGAGAGGCTGTCTTCAGTCTGGCTCACCCATCAATGAAGTAGGTATTAACTCTTAATCTCCAGAGAGGAGGGAGCGAGGGAGCCAGCCAGCCGCCGGCTACCTTTGAGCACCCGCACCCCCTTCTTCAGGAGCCCCAAGCTCACCCGTCCCGGCAGCCTGCTTGTGTTCCTTGGACCTTCAACGCCCAGACCTCGTTGTCCCAAGCCCCAGGAGGGACAGTCAAGAGACGCCACTGTTGCCCTTCTCCCAGGCAGGGTAAGACCCTACAGTACATGCTCGGGGTACCTCAACTATCTCATTGCCTTACAGACAGACCAAGTGAGCGAGCGAGTAACTACTGCTCTCCTCTTCTGCATCTTGACTCTTCTTCCGGCTGGGACTCGACGAATGTCGGGCGGGTACGGACTGGCACAGAGACAACAGAGAGAAGAGAGAGACAGGCTCTTAGGAGAGACACTGACGAGGAGAGAAAAGCACGAATTTCTGTCACATCTCCCATCCTGCTTCTTTCTCTCACACTCACACACTATCTCGAGACCGACCGCCTCTACTCCCTTTTGGCTCATCAGACATTCCAACAGAGTCACTCTTGTTGGTAACTAGCAGCATAGCAGAGAAAACAGGAGCAGCAGACCAGACAGGACAGGATAGGACGGGGACGGTTCAACCTGAGCGTCTATCTGTCCATTCTCGCCGTGTCGTAGGGCAGGCGCTACTCCGTACCTCATAGACCATCTCTTCTCCTGGATTGTCAGACACACAACCCACCCCCGGTACTTGGAGCTGAGGCGCCCAGGGTCCTCTGGTAGCATTTGGTGTTGGACTTTACCCATTCACAAGCCCCCTTCAGCCCTCCCGAGCTAGAGGGCTGGCTGGCCTTGACCTAAGCGCACCTGGTCTAGTGTCCCAAATCCAAGTCCCGCACCATCAACGAGCTACATATATTCGACAGCCGCCTCTCCACACTGGCAAGGTAGACGGGACTGGACTGGCAACTAAGGTGATCGACGCACGATAACTCCTTTCGACATCTCGCTCGAAGGATAGCTTAAAAACCTGCACACAAAGCCTTCCTTTCGACCCCGTCCGCTGGGCCTGCCATCTATTTACTCCGAACCCAATCCACCTTTTCCATCAAGCCTTACTCCCAGGGCAGCGTTCCTCTCCTCATCTTGGGGCCCGACAATCCGTACAATACTTGTATACCTGACACTACCTTTCCTGGTTACCTACCTATCCATCTTACCTACCTACATTGGCTACCTGAGCCGTCCTTCTCACTCTCGTCAGCTTTGTCTAGTCTTGTCTTGTCTTGCCTTCTTCTCTCATTCCTGCCCCCAAAAGCCCAAGGTCACGACATTCCACTACCCACCAAATTTGGACATCTGATTGCGCCGTGTTAGACTGTCACCGGTCATCATCGTTGTCGAATCCAGTAGCGGCGGCAGCCTCTCATCTGTGGCATTCCTAAACACCGCGTTGAAGTTCCAGCTTTTTTCAGCTCCGACGCCGCATCCCTAGAACGGGACCCGCCAACAGCAGCTGTTTCCGAGCTGTCTGGAGAAGGACAGGAAGAGAGAGAGAAGAGAAAAAGAGACCCGGGTGCCTTACTTTGCTTGACATCCGCCGCGCCCCATTACCGTCAAGGTTGGTAGCTCAGTCACGTCACTTCAGACTCTGTGCTCCCGCTTCTTCTGCTCCTGCCGCTCCTGCTCCACCAATCTTCCGGTCAGGCACAAGTACCGACAGGTCCAGTGTGCCTGCTGGGTTAGTCCGCCCGGCAGCAACTATCCAAAAACACCCAGTCAAAAAGCAAGAGCTCGCCTGTGGCAGGAAAGAACGAGGAGGATTCGAAAAATCACCAAAACCTCAAACACCGCGACCCCCCTACCCAAAATGGCAATGGAGACTTCTTCGAGCTTCACGGCTCGAAGACAAGCAACACAAGCTTTGCCCCCTTTCCATCTTCCGTCGACAAACCAAGATATACCGAGTATGAGTAGACATTCTCATCAGTACCCTTTCAGTTTTCACAATCAGCCTCTGCAGTCGCCATCATCGTGGCAAGCCCCCGCGATGGCTACGCCGTCGGCTCCCTCCTCCTCCTCCGCTGCCTCAAATACTCAACATTCTCCTGTAACCGCCAGCTCTGGTCTAACATCGCCTTCAGGAGTGCCAGGTGAAGGGCTCAGCCCGCTCTCTTCCGGTGTCAACACCACGAGCTCCCAAAGCTCTTACTATCCTGGAGGAAACGGCCACGGATCATGGCCCACGCCCTCGAGTTCCTACCAGCTCAGCTCTGGGACGCCCCAGGGGCTCGTTCAGACCTCTCAGTATGCCTCCCGCGGGAGCACCTACGATCAGCAATCTCCAATGTCCTACTCTCGCACTTCGCAATCACCCGCGACTGGCGAGGGTCTTCCTCCACCGCCCTACGGGCAAACGCACCAGTCCTTCCAGGCTTATCCTCATGGAGGAGCGGGATCTACACCAGTCAGTCTACCATCCCAGGGCCCACCAACACCTCAGGGTGGTATTCTTGGATCTCACGGTGCTGTCTCGACGCAACCTCCAACGCCCGGCGGTCTGCACTCCCATCTTGACTCCTACACCCAGTCACGACCACCAGCGACACCCGGTTACTACTCCACATCATCAGCCCCCCAGCAATCGTTTAACACCTACCAACAATCCCACACTTCGCCCACCGCTCCTTCTCCGACGACTTCGGTGGGCCCCGGTAGAGGACTTGCTGCGCTCCAGCACCCTTCCGCGATGGCACCTCCTGGTTCTTACCGCTACCCCGGTTATCATGTTCCATCCATGGGAGGACCGATCATGTCCAACCTTACTTCCCCTGGACACCAGATGTCACTCGTAACCGGTATGGGTGTCCCCGGCGGTTATGGAGCACACCATCTCGCACCGTCAATGTACGGCCACACCCACGGGGGGCAGCCAAACCCGCAGGCTGAACGGCCGTTCAAGTGTGATCAGTGCCCACAGTCATTCAACCGTAACCACGACCTTAAGAGACATAAGAGGATTCATCTTGCAGTCAAGCCCTTCCCTTGCAATTTCTGCGATAAGAGTTTCTCTCGCAAGGACGCGTTGAAGGTCGGTTTCTTACACCCCAAGATAGTTGCACAGCAGATTTTTTCAGGAGATGAACAATAGCTGACAGACATCACAGAGGCACCGTCTAGTTAAGGGATGTGGTTCAAAGGAGGGTGATGGCCAGAACGAGAACGGGCGACGCTCCTCGCAAGATCACTCCGACGACGGGACTCCTCCACTCAAGCGAGAGTAGTTGCTTACAGATTGCCGCTCACGACCTTCAATGTTCGACTCGCTTTATCGAATATACGGCCGAGATCATTTGCGGTCTCTTGGATATCCGGAGGGTGGTCATCAGCAACTTAGGTAGCCAGGCGTCAACGTGGCTTACGACCGCGATGACAATACCTTTGTACATGAAACCGCCAAAATTACAACGTGGGGGATCCACGGACGTAACGAAAATTCGAAAGACATGGGTGGCATTCGAGGAAACAATGCCTAGCAACAGACGCTTCGGAGAAAATCTTTCTTGAAAACTTATTTTTAATTCGATTACCAGCCGTACATCGTATCATTTCTTTACTACACGCACGGTTATACACGAAAACCCCGGCGTTATACCGACACCACGGAACATTAATGGAAAGAGACTACCAGGGTCATAGAGGGGGCCAGTTGGGACTGTGGTCTCTTTCGTTCCCAAAGCTTTCTTTCGCTATATGCTTTTTCGGGAAAATCACTCGTGGGCACGAGGACCAGTTGGACAGGACACATGGGGTCGGGTTTGTTTTTACGGCGAATGGTTGCGGCATCGTCCTCGCTACACACGGATGCGGGATGGGGCGATGCCAAATTGGGTACGGCTCCACGGAACACCTATATATCGGGAAAACGGAAACTGGCGCAGGCACTCATGAATCGGATGGGTCACGATGACGGAGGATGGCCTAAAACGACGGTCAAGGTTGACTCATTGACACTGTCAAAGTTTGGACGGGCATCTGGAACGGTCGGGTTTTGTACGCAAGAGGTCGCAGGTTATCAAGGTGGTATAGTGGAGTTGGGCATCGGGGACTGCTTTGGGAGATACCAAGATTATCAAAGAGACAGGTGACTGTACATTATTACAAACGCAAGAGAGCGTTCCCTGGGCAATCGACCCGATATGAAAATTTCGAGAGAAATAAGTAATGCTCTACACATATATCGAAGTCTCGCGAACGGTAATGAGCCCGTTGCTTCACAGAGTGTCACAACGGTACTCCAGAGCTACGAGAGAAGCACAATAATGACGATAGATTGGCATGTGAAGGACAATAAATCTTCGCCCCTATTCTCAAAAGATCTAAGCTCGATCGATAATGTTGACCGTGGTGGTGTTCGGGATGCTCCACGGACGAACAACCTAGAACATTAGACATCCGCAGAGCACGGCATCTCTTCGCTCTCAGGATTTCAGAGACTGAGCCGGCAAGAAATTACCATTTGAGACAGAGCTGTATGAATCCATCAAAACAGAAGTCTATAGATGCTCGAAACTGATCGAATCACTTTCTCATCCTTTTCCTCCCCCCTCATCTGAGCCAAAGGCAGATTAGAGCCGTGGCCTAGTGAGGATTACGTGCAGAGGCTAGCGCATAGGGAAGGATGGTGTGAACGGAATGGACAAGGCTGGCGGGCAGGGCGTACATTCTAGTTTTTTGGCTTCTTTTGGGCTGGTTCTCCTTCTCACCTCTCGTTTTGCTCCTGGTGAGCTTGGGGCTTTGGGCGTAAGGGAACGTGCTGGCGTGCGTGAACGGCCGCATGAGATCAGTGCGAGGGGGAGAAAAAAAAGGATGGGATGGCAGGTGTCGGTCTTCTCGCTCTCTGCAGAAAAAAAAAACAGATGAAAAAAGAGGCGCTGGGCGCCGCCGCCGCGCGCCATACTCAAAACATCAGATGACATTGGGGGGGGAGGAACATAACACACAGTAAATCAGACCTGCCCCCCTCTTCCATGCTCTTTTGGGCCAAGTTTGCTCTTCGGGACTCTCCTCCTTCAAAGGAGATCGAGAAAGATGGGATGCTTCTGACGAAAGAAGGACGTTGCTTGTGTGACCGCGTTGGGGATTCCTTAGTCGATCGCCGGGGAAGCAAACCACATGTTCGTCAGCCAGCCCTCTCTGCTTCGGTAGGTATTAACCTCGTTCCGGCAAGAGAGAAAAAAACTGTCCGAGGAGAGGCTGTTAAGTTGGAATGGATGGAAGGGAAAACACCGTGCAGTGATTACACGGGCAGCCTCTGCAACTTTTTTTCTTCCTTCCGTATGTCATGTCGCACATGAGTCGCCCACCGTATTCCAAGACTGCAGTCACGAAGCTTAAGTCAGTATCTTAATAACAGTGGGGATAGGTGTACAGTGACCAGGGCGTCGTAGATGATGAGCATTTTACTGACCTGATGAGCGGAGTGTCCGTGAGAGTTCGCTACGCGTTATCCCGCTGCTGGATAGCACGCTGGGGATTCGTCAAAGATACGCGAGGTTGATCAAGAAGCGATATGCGATCAATACGGAAGAGTCTAGACTCCCTTGCATGTCGGTTATCTGCGGAGAGTGTGCAGCTTGATGGGCTCGGCCCCATCGCGCAAACGAAGATTCAATGTACCAGAGAGGTTGCCCCAGTCCGGAGCTGGTAAGGTCTTCCTCCTGATATACACAGCCGTGATGGCCAGTTCGAAATGCTCCGGCCTGATGGAGAACAAAGCCAAGCAAGCGGGGGGGAGGATAGAGTAGCGGGGCAAGTGAAAGCGATCCGGCTGCGGAGCTGAATCGAGAACCTGACGTGAGCTGAGACACACACACGCGAGAGGGTGGAATGAGAGGGGGAGAAAAGCTAGAGTAAGGTAGGTGGTAGGGCGGAGACCAACCCATGGACAAGCGTTCCTGTCACTCCCACGCGATGGCCTGGCGAAAGTGTGCGAGGCGCCTCCTCCCGGGGAACCTCTAGCCCATCTCCTTTTCCCCCTTTCTCTTAAGGCCGGCGGCACCACTAGTGTATAGGTCTGAGAAGCCATGCCATTTTGAGCGTGCGGATTCGACAAGAGTCGGTCGTCGAGCTGCAGCTGGGTAACACACCTGAGAGCACTGGTTACCCTCATGGAGTGCACCGATTGTTTGACAAGGCCTGGCATCAACGCTACTGAAGATAGACCGTCAATTCATTTGACGCTCTGGAGAGGGTGGGAAACACCCCTCAACGGGAACTGTTGAATCGGAAGTGGCAAAGACTCTCGCCGACCAACCGCATTGACTCCTTCTACCTTGCTTTGTCCTACTCACCAAGATACGTGAGGGTGGGTGTACGGAAAGACATAGGCATCGTCTTGCCCAGCTTCCAGTGATCTGACCATATGACTGGCCCAGCTTGTTGTCACATATGTGCGTCTTCCTTGGCAATCGAGTCACTTGCTTCATTGCACCAAAGACGCAAGCATCATTCAGCCGTACGTAATTTCTCCACTCGGATAGAGAAAGGGGGGAAGAGAGTCGGGAAGTGAAAGCCGTTCAGCACGTCGGTAGGATGGCGCACGTTGATGGCGGAAGTCCTTCATACTCTCCTCTGTCGTTCTTTCGCCCATCAATGTAGAAGAACAAATGGCTTGTCTTCGTCGGCTGCAACGAAACTCGATAAAATGGGATGAACCAGGGCCTTGTCAGCCTCCTTGGTAAAGAGGGCATGTCTAGCCGCGCCACGTAAGCAATCCTTATGCGGTAGGATGTACGGAGTAATAGGAGGAGGTATCAGCGGGCTGAGGTGTACCTAATCTCGTTTCCAATGGTCCCAAGGTGGTTGTCTTTTGAATGCTCCTACGCAGATCAGCGCCCGAGCAGAACGCCTCAAGGCTCGTCCTCCGGTTCCTCTTCGAGCCTAGCGGCAGCCTCGAAGCGGCAGCGGCTGAACGTCTGGACGCAAACTAACGATTCCCACGACGACAATCTTACATACCGGTTTGCCGACATAATTTGTCGCTTTCCTAGTCTTGCCAATAGTTGGTCAGAAGAGGTTGATCTGGAGTCATTAGAATGATGAGAAAATATCGTTGTGGAGTTTCTTGAACGAGGGATCGTGGTGAAAAGGGTTTGCAATAAGTTCTCATCTGACACTTCGAGATCGCTTGAAGCTGACGTCCCTGCCATAAGTGGCATCCATAGTAAAGGCGGAAGGCGACATCTACTGTGCCTCTGGTCCAGAATTTGACTCTTGTACTATCGTTCGACTTGTAAGTTGATCATGCGGAAAACTATTCTGAGGTAAAGACCCATGTTCCTGGGCTCGTGCCGATTCGTGGAAGAGAACGCGGCTGCTGCAAGAACGTTGCCGTTAATGTTACGCGACATTGAGTACTGATATATACATTATTGCCAGGCCCCTGGATTCAAAAGTAGGATCAATGCGCGACGTCTATGCTGCGCAGACAATAGACACAGTATCGAAGTAACCCCACTGATCAAAGCTTCCGCCGGTGCTTTTGCCGTCGGCAATGGTCAAGGTCGCCTGGAATCATGTACTAGATGGTCGAGCTCCGCGGGAACTATATGCGACCGAAGGCAACCATACTCAAGTAGGTGAGCCGAACACAATATGAGCTATATTTGTTCTTCAGTTCAAACATTTTGAACTGCTGCAGGCGCAAGTAGATTAGCGACTGCCATTGCTGAACGTTTCCACGGTGAAGCTTTAATACGAGTGTAGAATGCCTGGGTCAGAGGTCAGCTCCTGATTGCTAGGTTGCGATTGATAACAGGGCAAACACGTACTTTGGATGAGTTAGCAAGGGCGTTCGTTGCAAGTCGTCGAATTAGGCTCGGCGAAATGCGAAGTCGCCCCTTGATCCCGGTCCGGCCCCGCGATTTGGGTTGGATGCAGCTTGGGGAATGCCCTGTGTTCTGTCCTGGACCAACCTTGCCATCAACCATTCAATTCCCGTGGATGGTTCTGCGGCTTGTTGCAGATCATTTCCCCTCGGCCAGGGGCAGATAGCCACGGAAGCGCCCAACCGAAGCATACCAGCCGATCCGCATGTTGGCCAGGCCTCGAAATCAACTTGGGCCGTAAACTTGGCGAGACATATCTCAGCGTTTGCTGGAATCGTCAGACGCTCACGGACAGCTGCATGCTATCGGGGAACATGAACGCATATCCTCGAAGGAGAAATAGGCGCAGTTCAAAGAACTCTGTGCTGGCGAGCAAGAACCATCGCAAGACTTCAACTAATCTCAGTGTCGCTAGGGTTGCATCAGACTCGGGTCACTGATCACCGGTGACCCCTGCTTGTAAAGTTGCGGTCTCCACGCGTCCCCGCAGTTCTCATGTTCGGGCAAGCGCTCAAGAAATCAAGGATAGAACTGAGCGAAGCCTCTCTCTCTCTCCGCGATTCTGTCTCCGGGGAGTATAGGCTGGTATTCGGGGCTTGCTCGAGAACTAGCCTGGACCCAAGCGCTCGAATTTCAAGCATGTGCGATTTCTTCCAGCATACTCGAGCTGCGACCATGCCGACACCATCAAATAGGCAAGACGTGAGGCGTGAGCAGTTGCTCTTGCGTTGGTAGCAAATCAGCTCGACAGAGTATATGTATATATCAGAAGCTTCCCTGATCCAGGGAAAGTAATCTCTGTGGTAAAGTCGAAGCTTCATGGATGTGCTAATTGCCACCATCTGAATTCAAGAACTCGAAGATTTCCGAGAACCTTGGCTGCATTTACACCCCAATATAGCAGATTGGAACAATGTAGGCAGTTGCGTTTTGCGGAAATCTGGCAATTCCCGTCATCATATAGTGGCGCGGTCTATCTTGAAGTGGCAGCGGGAGGTGGTTGAGTTGTGTTCAGGCTTCTCACACACCCTCTTCTCTGAGACGCGGCTCTCGGATCTCCAGGTTCGAAAGCATTGACATCCTGACAGACGTCGTCCATGCCGAGGATCATTGCAGATCAACCCATGAGTCGCCGCCTAGATTTGTACCTGACATCAATAGCAATGTAGAGAAGCAGGCTGCCCCCAGGAGAAAGCCTTTGCGGGAAACAGAGTCCCCTAACATCCATTGTGTGCTGGCGATGCCGTAATTTATGTCGTCGTGGGTTCCTGTTTCGCTTGCCAAACACTCGACGAATCATTTCATTGAGGATGGAATTATCCGTGAACGAACTCTCCGATTCGTAAGTATTACTGAGCTGATTCGCCAATCGATCAGGTGGTCAAAACGCCAGACCATGCTGATTTTTTATGTCCAGGAATTTCTTGGTTCCTCACAAATCAGCCAATACAGCATCTACACGTGGACATCGATGTTTGACGGGGCTTGCTTACTGAAGATAACTCCAGGCCCCTGAAACTCGGCCGAATAGTGGTGGACTCGGAAGAATCGTCGGTCATTGTGCTCAGGGGAGGGCAGGGACTTAATCGCACGCGAGAAGTGGGGCGTGACGATGTATCGGGGCGATGATGCGGAGGTTAAGCATCAAACGTGCTCGCCCATCGGTGGATCAACCACATTTTGGGAGATGGAAGAGCAGAGATCGAAAGGCTGCGATTGCGATTGGCGGGCTTAGGGCGAGATTGTGGGACGAGCTCCCCTGGTGGTGCTTTGGGATGGCCGAGAATAGGGTGGCCCGAGACTTCGGATGAATGTGATGAAATACCAAACTCTGGGCTCGGCAGCGATATTTGACACAGCGTCTCAGCTCTTGTGGACAACGTAGGCCGTATGAGTCGTTTCGAACAGTCTTGGAGACGTATTGGGCTGAAGTCTTTTCTGCCAAGCACCATAGTTGAGGTGGTCGGCAAGGAACTCCAGACCGTCGAACCATCGACCCCTGTTCAGGAACTATGGTTGATAGCAGAGCCACGGCTGGCCTGGAACTTTCTCCCTAAGTGGCCCATGCTGCTGTCTCCGAATAATTACAGATATTATGTCGTAGAGCTATATTTGGAAAAGAGGCGTGAGGCTGTCATAGAATATCGTGCGGGTATGGCTCGAGGTTCGATTGACGGAAACAACGTCCAGATAAGGTAGGCAATTGCATTGGGCACAGGGTAGCCAACAAACAACGTTCAACTCAACAACAATATTTCTTCTTTCGTCTCGTGATTCATTCGAAGTTTTGTGGGAGACCGATGAAGGAAAGGCGAGCAACGGGGGAGAAAACGGCCGATGTCGAGACACGCGATGAGCAGTTTGTTTGAGAGCACAATGGATGGAGGTTGAGTTTGGGTGCGACGGTGTCACTAGAGAAAAGAATTGTTAGCAGGGGAAGGTATCGATACTTCTTGCTCTTTTAGGCTACCGAAGCTAAGAAGGGACGTAAGCCAATGAGAACGAACATAGTGGAGAAGACCCCGCCTTGGCATCGTCGCAAACTCCACCCATGCGCAAGTTACCGAAGGGGCGTTCCCTGATATTCCGTATCAGCTCCTTCTCCTGGCCTTAGCAGACTGTCTCGCGTGATACCGCAACCTTCTGCTAACGCAGTCTTAGGTCAGAGTGTGGCCGGTTGCCCGTCTCACCAGGGTGTAACCAGGCTTTTCAGGCCCTCCGGAAGGCGCAACAAAAAGTCACGGCCGTCCGCCTCCTACATCTTGGCACGAGCCAAGTCTACTTCCCATTCATGCACAACATGCTCTCGTTTCGCCGCAGTATCGCGAAGACTTATTCGTAACACCCTCCCTGCTTGAAGCGTCTGAAGATCCCACGCAAACCTTCTCGCTGCCAGTCTATAACATCGCCCGTGCCGCCTTATTCCCCTCATCTTGGCAAATCCATCTGAAGGACCACGACGCTCTATCTCTCACTTCCCATCTTAAATAATAACTGACTCCACGGCCGGGACTGGAGCCTGGTAAAACCGTACATAATTCGCACCGTCACTCCCTTAATATTCGATTGTTTACCAGTTCTCGTACGCCAGCGTCGACCGCTTCGCCACGATATTCGCAAAAAATGGACAGCTTTCTCATGGCAAGACACGGTGGCGATGACCACGGAGCGACGGGAACAGCAACTGCTTCGGATGCTATGCCGGGAATGGATATGGGATCCGGCACGATGAACGATACCCACGGCTCAACTGGCTCCAGCATTAGCATGATGATGATGACCATCTTCCAGACCAGTCTGAAGACTCCTCTTTATACCGAGGCCTGGACCCCGAACAGCGTTGGCACTTACGCCGCCACGTGCATCTTCCTCATCTTTTTGGCCTTCGGCCTTCGCAGCATGCTCGCTCTCAAGTCTATTCAGGAGAAGCGATGGTTGGACAAGGACTTCAAGCGCCGCTATGTGAGCGTAACGGCAAGCTCGGCATGGCAGGAAAGATGTCAACGGACAGCATGGCAAAGCAAATGGTACTTTCCGAGAACGGCCTCGAGGAGAATGTCACTGTCGTTCAGAAGGGTCATGGCATTTGGAGGCCCTGGAGATTCTCCGTTGATCCTGTTCGTGCTGTGATTGACACCGCCATTGCCGGAGTTGGGTATCTTCTGTATGTGTTCTTTTTCTCGCTACTTACTTTCGCAACGTTTACTAACATACATAGGATGTTGGCTGTCATGACAATGAATGTTGGGTACCTCCTGTCAGTTCTCGGCGGCGTCTTCTTGGGCAGTCTCGCTGTTGGCCGTTTTGCCACTATGGGCGAGCACTAGTCAATCATCAGCAGCAGTTACGGAGACAATACCGACTAGAATGATCTCCTCAATTCACTCGGTGTTGTATGATGCGGTGACTCCAGTGATGGACGGATGCTGGATCATGCCATATAGAGACGATGAATGCGACCACGAAGGAAATGGATACCGCGACAATCAACAAACTTTTTTTCTGTCCTTTTTCTTTTTTTCTTTTTGGAATCGCATGCGAAGGAAACTACCCGGCTACTTCCGGTTGGAGATTACACTCGCTGTGTTGTGCTGCACGAAGCAACGTTTGTACATTCAATGGCAGCCCGCGGTTTTCAAAATCCAAGCAGCTACGATCAATAGTAGTAAAGCTGCGTGTACAGATTCGGTACTCAATATGGGGTTCCCTCCTTCCCGTCTCTTGTGGTCTTGTGGTGATAGCGCGGCAAGTACATGTACAAGGATGCCTAGTGCCGTTCCTGGCTCGTGCAGAAACCTTCTCAAACTCCCTCAGCCCGTCGCCCCCGTCCCCCGCTTCCTGCGAGGTTCAAGTGAGACGTACCAAGACATCAAGCCACCAAGCAAGTCTTCCTTACCGTCGGTGCCTTCGTTGCTGTGCGACATCACCTAAGCCGTCCACTCGACCTCTTCCCATTTCGTCCAAGTCAAGCCTTCGAACACCAAATGAGTCGAGCCAAAAAGGAGCCGCATGTCGACCTGTCCGCCACGCTCGGCCAGAGATGCAATTGGAGGTGACTAAAGAGTATCAGCCCTCAGATTCTGCCCCTGCAAAAGCGTATCACTAAGCAGCCAGACAGGCACACAGGCTGGCAGGGTCCAATTCGAGGGGTTGCAACCCAGGACGAACGATAAGATCAGCAGCCCGTCCATGTCTTCTGGGACTGCAGCAATAGTCGACTGTACACCCAATCACATGTTTTGCGAGTACGGATACGTTCATATTGTTGATCAACAGGCATCCTCCCTTCGCGCCCTGGCGTCTCGAGTCGCGGTGCCAGATGCGACGTCACCCAGCATGGCATGGCAGCCCTGAGCATGTGGAGTGTTTCCCCCAATTCCGCACTCTTCGAAGAACCCGTCCTTCCACGAAGCTTGTTTCTGCCCGTTTCATCTGAACAGCTCTCCTCCAGACTGACCTCGAAGTTTCACTGCTCCGATGCTCCGTTCCAGTCAAATTTGGTACCTGGTCATCTTGTAGAGGGGTACGGCAACTTCCACATGGGACGGGCAACATGTATCGATGCTCTACCTCGACGGACTCTTCTCTATGGCAGAGCTTTGAATGGCCAAGACAATTACGAGGTTGCCGCATGTCTACCGGCGTTGCTAGCACCAGTATCAGAAACCGAGAGACAAGCAAGATATATCTGCACCACCAACTCCGAGTGAAGGCTGTGTTTGGATGTCACAACACAAACTTGAGTAGTCCGACACAACATAAGTCAGTTGAACCCTGCCATCCGTTGCGTCTCAGCCGCCATGCTCCAATCGGGTCACGATTCACTACCAAGACGACAACAGACGACGGGAGTGCCGTGGCTGTGCGGGGTTTTCGCTTTACTCGGAGCCCACGATATCTGTGCCTGAACCCGGAGATGGGGAATTATCAGCAAGGAGACGCGGCTCAACTCCGAGCACTGTGCAATACAAAGCGACCATCCTCGAGCCTCGGGACTTTGTGGGTGTCACTTCTTTCTGAACGTCTCGAAGAGGAGTAGTTAGGACGATGTAAAGTTCTTGATTGTCCGGACTAACGAGAGCTCCGCCTAGGCTCACTACCAGAGGACGAGTGCTATCATGAACGAGACTCCGAGTAGAGGAGGGCGCGGAGACAATCCTGGACACCGTTTTTTCAAACGCCAGCAGAATCAGTCCATGTTTGCAGTGTCCGACGATACCACAGAGCCCTAGACCACTAGGAAACAAACATGGCGAGTCCATATATCAGCCGGAAGCTTGCCACACCTCTTACTGGCCCAACCGCCGGCGAAGTCTCCCGCACTCCTGGAAATGACCTCGGGACCGGCATTCAGTCCAGTCGAGGTAATAGGGTCCTGGGGACTCGGCATTCAACCCTGTATGCAGCGCCCCAGAGGTCGCCGACCCTGTCAATTCAAAATCAGTCTCTTCCTCGTCCATCCTTGTTGACGGACACAGAGACAGAGGGCTGGACTGATATCCAAGTTTGACCCATATACAGCCTTATGTGCCGTTGCCGAGACTATAGAGACGATCAAAACAATCGCATAGCTGCTCGGCCCCGGACTCCGGCAAACGAGGTCAAGGTCGAAAGAGCTTCAGAAAATTGTCTACCTAAATCTAGATCCGATCACGTCTGACCACATTGAAACCGCAGCGGACCGGTTCGCCGCAAATCCCGTCAAGCCCGCCAGGCCCAAAAAGGCAACAAGCTGTCCCTGCTCACGTCCAAATCTAGACAGGACCTTCTCCACCAAAAACAACAGAGATACATACATTTGCCGGGAAACCTCACAGCTAGCTACGCGTCTTTCCAAATATGTCAACTTTACCCCGCTGTAGAAAGGTCAAAAGAAAAGAGTTGAAGCACGCAGCTGCGCATGTGACACATCAAAGACTTGATCAGTCTCACTCTACCGGTCAGTTGAATGCAACTCCTCCAGTCGACCTGGCTAGTTGCACACTGCATCCCCAGAAACGATTCGAGTCAAGTTTGACAGATGAGAGAGACCGACAACGATGATGGGATAAGGTAGCTGTGAACCTCATCTTCATTAACAGCTCATCCAAGAGGGGTGTGCGTCGTCCTTCGCGCCAATCCTACGGGCTGCCCTCCTCTTCGACTCCCCCGCTGGACCCCCGCTACCGGCGCCGTCGCCAAAGCCGCGCTGAGGACGTGCACCGCCTCATTAGTAACAAGGAGCGAAACACGAGGGCGGACAATGCGGGCAGTACCCGTAGGTCCACAACCACTGTCAGTCCGCGCCCAGCAGTTAGGTTGCGCCGGCCGTGCCACGGGCGGGTCTATCGTTCACCGAATCACAACACGCGAGAAGGCCAAAAGCAGCATACGAATCTCTTACTCTGCCCCTTGCATCCCGAGTTCCCGCCATCCAGGAGTCTGCAGTGAATTGAATCGGCCGTGAATGGAACCAGAGATCCGCCGTTCGACCTAATCAGGCAAAAGTTGTCGGCGGGCTATTTGGACCGCATACCAATGCGACGACAACATCCACAGTTTTGCAACGACAAGAACAAGAATAAGAGAGCGCATGTCGACAAATTTAACCTCTGTCAATCACGGGCGGTCTGGAACCTACTACCCTAGATCTTCGATCCCTCCCCTCGGACGTCAAACTGTCAACAAGTTTACCAAGCAAGCAAGCAACCGGACGGTAGGGGTTGGCTCGTTCGTACTCGATGCCCGCCCGAGCTTGAATTAATTAGGAAATTCCAAGGAGAAATGACACAACCGTTTGTATGGACAGGACAGAAGCCAAAATCTGTTGCGAAAACCTTGCCTCCCGCTTGACAACCAAGCTTCGCGCGACCTTATGCTGTCGGGCAGCTGTCAAAAACGACCTGGCTTTTCTTCTTCCTTCCTCATCACCACCATCGTGGTAGGTAGTGTAGCTTGTTTGCCAGCACCTACCTCTTTGTGTCTGTTTTTTTTTTTTTTTTGTCTTTCCCCTTCTTTCGTGTGTCTCGCATTCCAGCTTTAGAGTTCAATCACTTGTCATGTCACCATGACGGCACACCACACACTTTTACGTATGCCGCCACGGACAACTGCGCACTGCCGAACCAAAACCAAACCAAAGCCGAGTCTAAATTTTGTTTTGCTTGTTCGAGTCCGCAAACGGAATTGTTCGAGGACGGGCGGACGGACGCGGGGAGCGGAGGAAGATCTGAAAAATGTGTCAGCGACGGAAAGGAAAAGTCTCTCCTAGAACTCGACGGAAACAACCCACCGCTTGTCACGTCGGATCAATTCTAGCATGATTGGTCAATAGTACGACCTATCTGTATCAATTTCTTTGGCTGCCTAGGATTTACTGCTCTAGGAGTCTAGAGAGACCACCACCACCACATCCTATGCATCGAATCTCGCAGACTTTCAAATTAGCACTGCTTCACAGAAATCGGCGCGTAAATTACAATCTTTTCTGCAACGTTTTCACAACATTTGCAATTCGTCAGGTCCTGACTTTCTAGTAGTGGTAATTTCTGGTGCGAAGACGGGGGAAAAGGAGGAGCAACAATAATCGCAAAAGGGGGGCGCGCACGCGGATATAACTATCATACAAGGTGTATAGAGACATTTCATCCTCTCCGTATTCTCGAAAATCATCCTCCGTTCTTCATCACTTCCTTTTCCCCATAAACCGGCGCATCCCCGGGCTCTAGGTGCCTGCTTATTCCCCTGTATCCCAGACTAAGAGCGCGCCTGACAAGAACGACAACGATGACAGCGAACAGGGATGGAAAGTGTGCGGTGTGAATGTAGCTTTTTGTTGATGTGCCCAGGGCCGGGGGGTATCGTGCCGAGTCCTACGGAGAAAAAGAACCCAAAAGACATTTCCTCGCAGAGCAGCGTAGTGAGAGATTACGGGTTCTGGAGCGGACCAAGTTGGTCGCGCGACGTCTCTCTGTTCCCTCGTTGATCCTCGACTTTAATGAAATCATCACAGTCCATTCCAAAAAGATGTGCCTGCCCCAGCCGTGAGAATGTCGTGCTCTCGTGCTGAAAAAGAACCTTCCCCCTCCCGTGCCGGAAATTCCCCCACCCTGTTTCCGCGAGACATAGCTTTCTCCAACCACACAACTCTCCCTTACCGCCACTGGAGAAGAAGGAAAAAACGAACGAAAACGATAAATGGCCAACGATGCCATACAAACTCGCGTCCACAGACAGCAAGCCGCCTGTCGCGAGGCACAGACGTGCCGCGCTCAATGAGACCGCCGCCGCCGTAATGCCACTCATACCCCATGTCTCCTGATCGCATGCTCCTCAGTGTCTCCATGTCTCTCGTTATGTCCCCCCGTGTTTTCCCCAGCTAGACAGCATTAAAATCCGCTCCGCGATAACGGTATCGCACAATAACTGTGTTCCTTGAAGATTATAGTCCAAGGACGGCCAAGTTGTGAGATACCGGCGGAGTCGTAATAGCAAAAGGGAAATTGGGATCAAGAGAAATAAAAAGAGAACGTAGTGGAACGAGATGCAGCAATTAGTAACACCGAACTGTAACGCCAAACTACCAGAGCTTCATCGCCGGGTGAAGAAATGACGAATGCCGGCGACCGAGGTCTGGGAGATGCAGGATGTGTGTCTGGTATCAACGGGAAATGCAAAAGTCACGATGAATTTGGCGATCATGACTGATGCGACGTGTGCTGGGGAAGACCAGACTGCGGCGGCATAGCGTAGCCACCACCCCGTTGTTGTTGCTGGACGTAACTCTGGTAGGCGAGCGCCTGAGAAGGGTCCATGCCGACGTTGGACATGTAGTTAGGAGGCATGTGAGATTGAGGCATACCCTGGCGTCCAGCCTGAGGGGGCAGGTGCTGTTGGGGAGGCTCTTCGGGGGAGTCAACCTGGTTCGAGTCGTCGACGCCATTCTCGCCGCCTTGGGAAGGCTCGGGTGCATTCAGACATGCCTGTGTCAAGAGTCAGAATTGTCTTCTTTTTTTTTTCTCTCTCTTTTTGTAACTTTGTATTGGTTGAAGCAGAGAGCGCATACCTGAATCAAGTTCTTGCCCTCAGCCTTGGTGACAAGAGGTTGCAACTTTGGTGTCGTGAAGGTGTAGACAAGACCCGTCTCGGAAACAACGAGGAGGAGCACTTGGGTGCCAGTGAGGACAGAAAGCTCATAGGCCTAGTGGGCATTCTGGTCAGCATCTTGAACAAGTAAAAACCCGGGCTGGTGCAGGCAGCAGCAAGTTTCCGCGGAGGATTGCTTCGGCTGAGTTGGGCATTGAGGAACGATTGGAATTGTCAACGTACCTTCTTCATGATACCAGCCTTGCGCTTGGAAAATGTAATGTGGCGACGAGACTTGTCGTTGATGAACTTGATCTCAATCTTGCGACGCTCGCGGCCGCCCTTCTCGTCATCATCATCATCGTCGTCGGCGGTGCTGGGACGTTGGCGCTTGACGCCTCTGTTCTCGGCGACGCTGCCGTTGCCAACCTGCGACTCGTCGAGGTCGGTAGGCGAGGTCTGGTCGTGTTGATCGGTGATGTCGGCCATTGTGGTCAAGTGCGCGGGTGTTGGATGGTATCACAAGGCAGTAAAAGGTAAAAAAACGGTGGAGAAACTGCTTTGAGCGTGGTGCCGATTGATCTATACTTGATCAGGGTGGATGAGCTCTTGCTGTGTGTAGCTTGGATGTTGTCGCAGAAGGAGGCAGGTCGGAACGGGAGGTAACCTGTATCGAGTCTGGTGCGGAGCGGATGCGGTGCCTTGCGTGTGGTGGAGGTGGGAAGGCAGGTAAGGTTGACTGATTGAGAAAGATGGCAGGTAGGAGAGTTGAGTTGGTAGGGTAGGTGGTAGGTGGTAGGTAGGTGGGTAGGTTACGCGGGCGACTGATAGCGCGGTTGCGTGTGTAGTAGTACCTTTTTTGTTTTTTTTCTCCCCTGCCGACCAACGGAAGCGAGGAATTTGCTGATTTAATTTTTTATTTGCTTTGTTTGACTTTTGGAGCTTCCGTGCCTGACATGCACTTGTTGCTTGTCGGTAGCCACAGCGGATAGCGGACAGACTGAATGAAGATTTGTCCCAAATAGTCAATAGTCGACGGCGACTATTTTTTTGACAGGCGGCGCGGGCGCGGTGGATGGATGGTTTGGTGGTGGAAAGAAGCTGGTCTTTTTTGGAGACAAGCACAAGGTAGCGTAGCGGAAGCAGGTGGGTGGTGGTGGTGGTTGTGGTTTGTTCGCAGCGGAAAGCGGGAAGGCTTGGCCTGTCGAAACGAACTGGCTGCGGTGCGGGTTATGAGCCGAGCGGATTTGTGTAGGTATTTCTGCGGAGATGCGTGGTGCGATGGGGTGGCCGCGCAGAAAAAGGAAAAAACGCGACTCGAGTGAGAAACTTGGGTCGGGGGTAGTGGGAGAAAGAGTCGAGGTCACTCGGCGGTTTTTTGGGGGGATCCCTTTTTTGACGGGGGGAGAAGGCCGAGAAGAGAGACTGGGGGTAACCTGAGAGGGGGGGCAGGAGGGAAAGGTAAGGCCGAGAGTCCAGAGCCAGAGAGACGTTGGACCAAGGGTCAGTTGTCAGGCAAAGACCGGGTCAGGTCAGGTACCGAGTGGGTGAGGGTGAGGGTGAAGGGTGAGATGGATGGATGGATGGGATGTCGTATCTCTCTCGTCCGGATTTCAATGGAATCCACGGAGCCGAAGAACGGGTTCTTGGACGCCACCCAGAAAAGAAAAGAAAAAAAGGGGATAAGAGGAGACGGGTATGGGTATGGGTATGGATACAGATAGGTTCGATGAGGTATCGAGGCGGCTGCTTGACGTACGTCGTTTGGTGGTTCAAGCGATTTCCCCTGCTCTCGAAAACAAGCAACAAGTGTCAGTTGGGGAAAAGCAGCTCGATTGAGGATAAGGTGAAAGGGAACTGCGGAGTGAATGAAAAGAGGATAGTGAGGTGGTAGCACGGGCTGCGGCCATAACCAGACAGTTTAAGGAAAAACGAAAGGCGGGGGGGTGGCGGTCTTGGGCTGCCTGGGCCCTCTTCTACTCGAGTACATAGTACGGACTTCTCAGAGACGCGACGGGGGCCCTTGGGGGTGCGACCAGGGTGCCAAGTGCTAGCTGGGTTGTAGAGTACAGTGCGCGCTACAAAGATACCTTTCCATCTTTTCTAACCTCGACTTCCATGCCCGGGGCATGCCGCTATGGAGCGAAGGGGGAGGAAGAGGAAGAAGAAGAAGGCGAAGAAGGATGACCGGGGTGTAGAAGTACCTCGAGGGGGTGTGTGCGTGGTTGGTGGGTGGGAGTGCCAATGTCGCGGTGTGCGTACGGAGTATGGTAGGTACGGATTACCCAAGGTGCCTACGGATACCTCAGTCGTTTGGAGCTCTGAAATGTGAGGTGTTCCATGGATGGATGCCGACGGAGACTCCCTCAGGTGGACCAGAGAGAGAAAGGGCAGATATGTGGGCTATCCTCTTGGGATTCTACTCTGAACGGAACATCAACTGATGATATCTGGTTGTGGGGGCACCTTAGTAAATTGATATGCGCTCTCTCTCTCTCTCTCTCTCTCTCTCTCTCTCTCTCTCTCTCTCTCTCTCTCTCCCAATGGAAGGTAGGATGCAAGTGCTGATGCCCTTCTTACATTTCTGTGAGGAATTTTGATCAGGTGGAATAGAGGGTGTGGATGTATGCCAAGGTACTTCATTACATCTTATGTGCGTGTGTAAGAGAGTTGTCGAGAGGAAAGAGCACAAAAGTTAAACGGGCGGGTGAAGAATAGACAGGCAGCGGGAAGACTGGACGGGAACTGTATTGACGGAAGTCGAGCATGAGGTGACAACCAACGACACCGGTTTCTACCTCTGACGCCTCAGCACGAGAAGTCCCACCAAGGTACCTTATCTTACATCTCTCGGAAACCCGAGCTACCTACCTAAGGTACGTTGCAAGAACGATGGTCCACGGGGCAGAAAGAAACAATCACACTCTAGAGGAAGTCCATAGGAAGGAACGAGGAACAACGAGGTTGGCAATCGCAGGCAGACACAGGCTTCTGCAACTACTCTTTCCATCGGCGGGGTTGGTCCTCTGACTTCTGGTTTCCTTCCTGCTCAGAGTGTGAGCTTGGTGCCAGGTGGTGACTGCTAAAAGTGAGGTGGTGAATGGTGCCTGTTCAAAGAGGAGGAAAGTGGAGCCGTCCAAAGTGACTTCCACCCTCTCCTTCTGTTTCTCTTCCTGCTCCTTCTTGATCCTGCCCCGAAACCTCACTTCTATCTTTCCCTCTCAATCTTATTACCCCATAGAAGGTACCTTACCTTCCCATTCATTACTCTCAAGGTCACGTAAGCGCAATTGAATCCGGGCAACATGCTCGCCCCTTCCTTCGTTCTTCTCTCTTCTCGCTTCACATCACCCTCCTACGGAACTTGTACCATGATGCTCGAAAAAGGCGCAGAGTGACGACAAGTAGGATCCAATCCCCTTTCCATGTACTCCTAGGCCCCCCAGTAGATAACTAAGGCACACGAGATGAGAAAGATATACTAGCACACACCCACCTGCAGCCGACCAGGGAAGAAGGTTTGGCTTCCAGCAGCACAAGCGCAACTACGGATACACTACGACGCTTGCACCATCCTCAACCTCCGCCATACCATTGGGAGGTGAGAGGTACATATCCCGATGCCTTGCCTACCTACCTTACCTTGAGGTACCAAAGTATTACCGACTGCACCAACCGTCCCCGCCTACCACCCATCTACTCAATGACCTTGACAGGCTTCCCCCTCTCTCAGCAACATGCCATCGTTCATCGCCATCGTCCACCCTCTAGCTCCTCTATCTGTATGTACATGTGAAGAGGAGACTTGGATATCGTCCACTAGGACAATGCTAGCGACAGATATCCTTTTACGCCAAGAGATAGCCCTGCTTGCAAGCCATCCTGCTAGGTTGCGTCCCGCCCACGGCCATGGGTCCTGTCGGTCAGGACGCGGCCGACCGGACCAGTCCAGTCCAGTCCAGTGAGAACCTGGACTGCCATGCCTCGACCAACTACAGTATGTGAGCCTGTAAGGTCTGCGGCGGCGCGGCCTGCCAGCTTCTCCAATCCCATGGTGAGTTTCTGCTCCTCGTGACTTGACTTTGCCAGTATCTCCATGTCTCTCCTCATGGACTCTTCCCTCGGTACGTACACTCGACAAATGTCGGGCTACGGCGGCTTTGCATCGTTGTAATGACTACCGGTACCTAGCATGCGACACTGCAGAAGTGCAGATTGACATCTCTCTTCTTGGGTCCTGGCTTGCCTGTGTAATAACGGGTAGACGATCCAGAACCAGGGCCAACATCGACGCCGTTGTCGTAGCCATTGCCGCAATAACCAACCGCCTGGTTCAATTGCTGAACTTGCTGGCGATCCCTTCTCTCTTGAATCTCGCGTCAAAACGTCTGCAGCTCATGTACCTGACTTGTCCGGTTTGGGATACGCTGCTGTTCCCTACCGGCGGCTCGTTGGATTGTTCTTTCGAGGGCCGAGCTAACGCATAGCAGAGCCTAGGCGTCGCCGTGGACGTCCTGTCAGAACTTAGAACCTTCGCACCGACGCTGTCAAAGCCTTCTTCGCTGCCTTCGATCGCTTGCGGCTTGGTTTTCACGGCTTTGGGGCTTGAGCCACTGCGTTCCTCCTCATGCCTCGGGAGCACACACTGCTGCCTTCATCTGGCGACTATCAGCCTTTCTGGGCCAGTCCCTGCAGAACGAAGGAACATGTCAGCAAACACCAGCCATTTCTTTGGACCCTCGATTGCTAACGCCTTTCCTTTTCTCACTGCACTGTGCCCCTCAATTTTAGCTCCCTCATCCTAGGTCCGGGCTGCCAGTGGAATCCATGGGAAATAAGCGGTCCAGGTATTCCACAGTGTAGCACAGTCGGCGGCGCCATGGCTGTCTAAACGGTGGTCAAAGCATCGTGGTTTGCGGCATTCGGCTGCATTGCGAGATAGGGCGGGAAGAGAAGCAGGGGAAAAGGGGCGAAATGTTGCTTACAACGTGCCAAACGACGGGAGTCAGGGAGAGCCTAGGAAAGACCCTCTTTCGAAATTGACTCCCGCCCTCGATTGTCAAGACACGAGAAAGCACCACGCGTGCTGCGTGCAGCGTGCAATATTGAATGAGCGCGCCAACGAAAAATAATTAATGATTCTTGGGTCCTGTGGGGTGACTCCTGCCTTGATGATTGGGACCTGTGGAGAATTGAGGGATCGGGAAAAGCGCCCAGTGCGACGAGCGTGCAGGGTACAAGATCAAACCCCTGCTGCTTACCGCGACTAGCGGTATCGAGGACCTCGGCTGGTCTTGGTTCTGTCTCCCGTCGCTTTTCGACATCCTCGATCGGCCCGCCTGTTGTTTGGCTGCGTTCAGCTGGTGAAGATACCTACTGTGCCGGCTCATCGATGAAATTGAATGCCAACGTCGAGTTGTCATGCCCCCAGTCAGCCGGCCTGTCGAACCACAACCTGCGCGTAAGGCTTCCGAGCGGCCCTTGGTGCAGCTGGCAACGACGCTGGAGTCGTTGAAATACGCAGTACAAAATGCTTGCGCTGCACTGCACTCGGTTTGCAGGCGGGAGTGTGTGGAACATTGCGACGCGGTTTGGCTTAGCGTCTTCCTGCTGCGCTCGGTGTAGGGGTGTTCCTAGATGGCCGCTGGAAGCTGATTTCCTGGTTTGGAGAGCTGCAAGCCTGCGAATCGACCGAGCTCATTTACGCCCATTCTTGAGTAGCGCTCTAGAAGCCTGCCTCAATCAGCACTGGCATGCCGTCCATAAAAGGAAAGTAGCTCATAGTTCTTTGACCTCAAGACAGACCGTCACGCGCGCGCCCGAGAGAAGATGCTGCTCAGCGGCGACGGCTTCGTGAAGCGCAGCATAGTACATCAGCCGAGTGAGAAATGACAATTCAAGCAACCGTGAGGTCTCGCAGGATCTCAATAGACTATTGACGTCGATTGCTACCCCCAAGGCTGGCCTCCTGTGAGTAGGGGCCACAAAGACATCCGATGCGCGCCATGAGACGACTTTCATCATCTACCTAAGTTACCAGTGCAGGGCCAACCCGACCAATCAATGATTGGCGGAAATTGGCAATGGATTGGTATTGTGTGCGTGTATTACTCGACGGTGGGCTTCCATTCTCCTGGAAATCGATAGTGCTGGCCAGACCCAGCCGCGACTGGGACTTGGGGACTTCGATGTGGTTGTCCTGTCTCTCTTTCTCTCTGGACAGGTGGGTGTTCGTTCGTTCGCTTGCTCGGTCCATGTGGATGCCCCACGCCGTCGCCGACCGAAATCAAACGACACGACACGGCGCGGGCATGGTAGTTGGGACAAGGGTCTGGTTGGTAGTTTGCTGGGAGGTGGATGGCAAAAAGACGCCGTCGCGCTGCGGCACAGCACACAGTGCTTCAGGCGCAGGCGTTCAATATGGGACGTGCTGTTGAGAACGTGGCCCCAGAGCGGAGACACACAGGGCGAGCTAAGGATGGGTAGCGTGTGATTGCAGCGGCCACGGGTACGGAGCAAATGTCGTGAGCGTGGAGTCGAGGGTACTTTGTAGACTGTATCCGTCCATACTGCGGAGGATAGAAAGTACGAACAGATATGTTACAGTTCCTGTCTGGTTGTTGATGGCTGCAACTCGAGACAAGAAAACACTGGGTCGATGCTGGTAGAGATTTCGGGGCTTCGGAGCGGATCTTGGAGGAGCACATGTTTGATGGGCAGACGGGGTTGTCAGGGCAGGCAAATGACAGGTGGTAGATGCGATTCTTTGCTCTGCTGCCGCGGCTATTGTACGGGTCCAACGTGTTTCTTTGTACGAAGTCTGGTGGCACTGGAGCTTTGTGCCCGCCTTAAGTTGGAGAGCGGCGATTCCGTTGCGTATGTCTCGGAGTCGGAGAAGAGCGTA